TTAGGTTATTTTTCTTCAGCTTTAGGTTGAGTAGGGTTTGTTCGTCTGCTGAGTTTGATTGGCTTGGGGTAGCAAGACTGATTCAATCGGCTAGGCTTTATCGATTGGTTGAACTAGCCTGGTTGTTGATCTTTAATCCCTTGACGAGGAGCTCTTGTTGGCAGAGTGAGACTTGATTATCAAGTATAGAATGAATCACCATAACCTGATAAGTATCTCGTCCTTCAACGAGAAGAGCTACATGATGACCAAAAAACTCTGTTGTATTGTCCACTCTTAGTCTCAAATAAGGATTCTTAGGGGCATCCGTGTGACAGCTAGTTATATTCGTGTGACAGCTAGTTATATTAAGGAATTGGGGCCTTCCTCGGATCTCATCTACTGGAAAGGAGGTTGCTGCCTTAGGTCAACTTTCTCGTAGTAGTTAGCTTGGATACTCATCTATCTTGTTTTAGTCCAGTTGATTTGAATTTGGATCGATCGGTCGTCCTTCGGCTTTGGCTCAGACGACTACATTTGATTGCATAAGTGGGTCTTCTGTTCTTCTGTTGGTAGGCTTTTCTTTGTTTACTTTCTTTCTTTTGGACCATTATATCTCATCGGGTTCACCATTGACACATTTTTATGTACAAATACCAAGCCTACAATATATATCTATAAATATTTCATAAGCCAATTTTCAATCAACGTTTTATGATCAATATGGCAATTATTAGTTGCACATCAAAAAAATGGTTGGTAAAAATAAAATTTATATGATTTGATAATGACAGGTGCATAAATATAAATATTACTATTATTAAAATTATTTTTTACTTAAGAACTTTTGTCGTAATAAATCTAGACAAAATTATTTATATTACTTGATATATCAATATGAATATTAAAAAAATCTAGTGGCATGTAACAATTAGTTGAAACTGTAAGCAAAATTGCCAACCTACAAATATCCAAGAATATGTTATAGAATTTTAAAGATAACACCCCTTACAAAAAAAGGAACTTTATTTTTATTCAATTAAAATCTTAAACTACAATAAATAAATAAACACGTGATAGCTTGAGGCATAACCTACACCAACTCAATTGCGCACATTAAGCATTTAATAAACATACTGAGAGTGGCTTTCCAAACCTCTACAACAAGTTATTCTGAAACTAATACAGTCTACTTATCATTACAATGATTTAAATACATAAATTCTGCAGCCAGATGAATGCTACTCTTGTGAATATATATATATATATATATATATTTTTATCTCACTATTTCTTGTTCATACATGTCTTTCATGATCAATCATTGATTTCATAGTTGATACATTCTCTTAGTTTATGCACTGTAACACTATTGATTCAGAACTACAAAAAATGTAATTATTATGATTTTTGTTTGCATTATTAATTGTGGCATTCTCCTCCATCATGACTAACTGCTTCAACTTCATGCATTCTATGATGCCAATTAGACATTTAACAAAGATGATCTCACCTCCCTGTGTGCTCATTTTATCTTCCTTGGTTGAAACCTCATCTTTTAAAGTGCCAATTGGCCATCTCTTTTATTGCGGCTCATTATTGTTCTGTTGCCATCGTAGTTGCTCAGGATCACTGGATGATCTGCTCCTAACTCATTGTAACTTGGCTGCTACTTCTTCAATCCGTAGTTATCTATTGTAGTAATGTGATTGCCACTCATTTATATAAATTTCATGGCTTTCAAATACAAATTTGTGGCATTTATTTGTCATTTTATTTAGAAATGAGTACAAAAGTGTGACTTTGTTGGGCTCGCATGTAATTTTAGAATAAACTAATGAATACCAAACCACTTTGGCTTACTCGTTTCTTTACATAGTGCATCAAGATTGAATCCTTCAACTAGACTTCCATCTAAAGGAGCATGTAAAGGTATAAAAGCATCATTACCATTAGTTTCTCATTTTTAGTCTTATATATATTTATTCAATTTTCTACTTGAGTTTCCCCCAACATTTGAAACTGAGAAACCTACCCTTTGCAATCCTGAACATTTCTATATATTCATAATATATCTATAAATGAATAAAGGCATTTGTTCAAACCTTGTACAATAATAACAATCAAACAAAGATTTAAAAAAATTAAAAAAAATGCAATTCGCAGGAATCATTGCATCTTAGTTTTATCAATTATAATTTTGATACATGAAACTTTGCTCGTTAAATTATATTAATAAAGATTTTCATAAATTCAATGATTTAAGTTCATGCTTCTTATAAGAATCAAGAGTTCTAGTTTTCTTTCTCTCTTTTCCCCCTTTTTGTTCTACCTTCCCAAGGATGGGATCTATCGAGCATAGGTAAAATGACAATGACTACCAAAATTCTTAACAATCGAATTATTTGACTCCCACTCTTAGTTATCTTTGTTGTTTCAATTGATATAGCATTCTTATTTCCTTTATTTTTTATTCTTTTATCAAATTTACTATTACAACTTTTTGGCCTAGTTTCTTCTCTCTAAATTTTGTTTAAACTTAAAAAATTGAGCTTATGCTTAAGCTTTATGCTGATATTATTCAAGCTTAGAATCAAATTAAGGAAAAAAGTATTACATATGGATTGCGTATGAGCATATTTACGATGTATTTTTTCCTAAATACACCCAAAATATACCCTAAAGTATATCAAATATGTACCTATGTTATATGTATATAATAATCTCTCCAAATTAAGAGCGGCTAGAGCTCAATTCAACATGTTTTCACCCTTTTCTCCATAGAAGGTCAATTATTTTTTTCACTAAAACACATTTAATTTGCTTGTAAAAATTTTAAAATTTATCTTGTGGCCAATATTTTAAAATTTCACGAACTGAAACTAACCCATTTTTTGACATTTTAAAAATAATTTTAAATTGGGGAAAATATTTTTGTATTGAAATTTAAATGATTATTATTTAGAAATAAAATGAATAATTATGATGCGCGGATTGCCCCCGCTTCACTTGTCATCTGATACTTCCATTCACAGCTACAAATCATTAACTTCTTCATCTATTTATTGTTCTTCATTCATCTTTTTAACCTTACTAATTACTGATTACAAACTTCTTTCATTATCAATGCTCCCTTAACTAATTATTTTCCATATGTTCCATGACATCCCATTTGTATCTAGAATGATCTAGTCACAGAATATTTGCTCCTTGAAGAGCAACATTCCCTGTGTGCACTAACACTTTGTGAAAAGTAAATGGTGGTGAAGTATAATTTTCAGAATTTTGTAAGATTTATGTGCTCATATAGATAAACTTTTGAAGTAAAAAAATGTAATGATCCCTAGAAGTTATACTACTTGCTTTATTTGCCTATATTTTGCAGTGATTCGCATAGACTTATCATGCAGCACTGTATGTTAATAGCTGTGATATTTTTTTCTTTGCTTCTATTGACATGTGAGTCATGACACTTGTCTGAGACCTTATGCTACTCCTTTGCATAAATTTTTAATTGCTTTGGAGTGTAACTAAATATTATATATGGAAAGTCAATTTTCAATAATTGGAGGGGATTCGAATTTTTTTGAAATTATTGCTTAAAGAGTTATCGCATTACATATATTTTACAGAAGAAATTCAAGTAAGATGCCATGTTTTTTAAGCTACTCCGCTGCTATGTAAATTTAGCTAATTAAGCCACTCGGAAAAAATAAGTTCTAACAGTTTTGTTTTTTGCTTCTTATCACGAGCTTGTTTTGAATGAATTTAAACTTTTAGCTGCTATTTTCTAACTAATCCGAGCAAAAATTAAGGCTGGTTTAGTTAATCTTAAGTGTTAATGATGTGATTTTGAGTCAATCCGGTTATTAGACTGGTTTAAACTGATTTTAGTTTGATTTTTTGCTTTAGCTCGTTTCAATCTTGAGCTCAATCTGAGCCAGAAAATCTGAAATGCATTGTAAGAAGCTGTGGATCACGTGGTTAGACAAAAAGATTAGACCTAACCTTATAATACAACAACAACTATAAGAAGAAGTCTTTATCCCACACTCTGGGGTCGACTACATGAATCATTTTTCTCCATTGTGTCCTATTGAGTGTCATATTGTTATTTAATTCTAATAAATTAAAATAATTTTATACAATATGCCCAAATCTTTTTTGGTTTACCTTTACATTTTTAACATAAGTTGAATCAAAACATCTACGCTTTTAACCGGATCATCGGTGGTCAATGTTTAATGTGACTAAACTATCTAAGATGACTCTTTTCTAATTTTGTTGTTACTGGGGCAACATTAACTCTTTCACAGATAAATTCGATTAGTATTTTATCTCTAAGTGTCAAACCACTCAACCTCCTAAGCATTCTCATATGAGCAACACTGAATTTAGTTTTATGCTTCTTCTCTTTTAAGGGCCAACATTCCGCGCCATAAAGCATTGCAAGTCTCACTGGCAACCATATAAAATTTTCTTTTGCGTCTGAGTGTTACTTTTCTATAACACAATAGGCTTGGTGCATTCCTCCACTTCAACCAACTAACTTGAATTCTATTAATAACATCTCCATCTATATCACCATCACTGTGAACAATAAACCCGAAATATCTAAAACGTTCACACCTTTTATGGATTTGATCACAGATGGTACATCTCTGCCACTAGATCTACTACCATGAAAATTACATTCCATGTATTCAGTTTTAGATCTACTCAAACAAATACTTTTAAACTCTAATATAGACTCCATAATTCAAGTTTTTCCTGAACTTATAATATGCATAAAATTACATGTGGTGTTGAACATACATTGACATCAGTGGTGAGTGAAGGCATTGTCCTTTCATGAATTCCTCTTATATCCAAAACTTAATTATAATGTTGATGGTCTCTTAACATTTATTTATTTGTTACACCGTTATTCTTAAAATGCTTTCTCCTGGTTTTCTAACCTACTTGACTTACACCATGCAACAACTATTCATCTCGCATTCACTCTTGATATAAAAATGTAGCAGATGAGAAATGCGAAGGAGTAGTTTCGTCGGAAGAAGATCAAGATGGCAGCGGAGCAGAAGCAGAAGCAGAAGTCCCTGAGATAGACCCTCGGGCTGAAGACAAGGAGCTAAAGCTTCATCTCCTCAAGAAGTACAGCGGATATCTCAGCAGCCTTAGGCAAGAATTGTCTAAGAAAAAGAAGAAAGGAAAGCTACCTAAGGATGCTAGACAGAAGCTTCTCAACTGGTGGGAATTACACTACAAGTGGCCATATCCATCGGTACAGTATATCATTCCATATATGCAAGACACCTTCAAGGCCAGTAGAGGTGTAAGTGAGTCAAGCAGAGTCGTGAGCCGGCTCTAGATCGACTAGATAAGTGGCTCGTTAACTGAGCTCGATGAGCTAAAAAGCCAAGCTCAAGTCAGTCCCGGCTCGACTCGTTAGCTTGTGAGCCGGCTAGTTTAAAAAAAATTAATATAAAATATATTTAAAATATATCATAATTGAAAATATTTTCTTTAAATTATTAAAAATGTACGAAAAACTGATATTTTATCTTATCAAGTGATTTCTTATTAATTATATCTTAAATGTTCATTTTATTTATTATTTAATTACGATGCTAAACAAGTAACTCGTGAGCCGATTTGAACTCGTAGAATTAAGCTTGAGCTCAAGCTCGAACTCGATTAAACTAATCAAGCTCAAGTCGGGGGCAGCTCCAGCTCGAGCTCGGCTCTGTCCTTTTACACCCTTGGCCATACAAATATGAAATCTTTTCATTTTTATTTTCATGGGTGTTATGATCAGGAAACTGAGAAAATAGCTCTGTCGGAGTCGACGGGGCTGGATCAGAAGCAGATCAACAACTGGTTTATAAATCAGAGAAAAAGGCATTGGAAGCCATCTGAAGACATGCAGTTTGTGGTAATGGATTCATTTCATCCACAGAACGCTGCTGCTCTTTATATGGGTGGTCAGTTCTTAGCTGATGGAAATTATCGATTCGGACCTTAATTAACCCGTTAAGAAGAACCACGTATTGGCCTTGGAAGCTGAATTTCTGAATGAATTTCAGAGCTAATTATTGTCTTGAAAGCTGATTATGCTTTTTTACTTTCTTTTTTTTTTAGATTTTATTTTACTATTTGGAGAAAGGTTGGGTGCTATTTGTTTAATATGAGTCTCCACTGTGTTACTTTTTTATTTAAGGTGATGTAATGCATCTTCATGAGCAAGTGTATGTGGGAGAATTATAGTTTCTAAAGTTGAATGTTGTGCTTAAGGTTGTATTTATGATTTTAGATTATTCTCAATTGATTTTTTGTAAAATGCATGGCAGAGTTATAAATTAGATTAATGTAGTTTATTTTGGTAGATTATATCATCATAATGGAATACATAATGTAAAATTTTCTCATTTATATTAAGTATGTTGATTGGAGTATCTATAAACAAGGGTTTGATGTAATTAAGACATTTTGTAAAGATCAACATCAAAATTATAGAAAGATGCCGGCTAGAAGAGTCGGATTTAAGGTGATTTATTGATATGTGATCGATTTATATATAAATGTTCAGAGCGAAATGTTTCATTTGCTTTGTTTATTAGAGTTATGATGTATTATAATAAGATTGAAGATTGCTTATTTTATTCCAATCTAAAATTTTTTATTAGGTAAGTGTAAACATGGAATTAAAAAGAAGCAAAAAAAAGAGGACAAAAAAAAAGGAAGATTTATACCACTTGATTCATATGCATTAACATATCTAACAACTAAATTTAAATTTTTACATATATATCATCTTACTTGTGCATGAAAATATGTATTTTATTTTTTATAAAATAATATTAATTATTGATCAAGCTTTAATAATTGGTAACAATATTTGAAATATTTAATTCAAGGTTAGGCTTTCTTAAAGTATCATGTGCTAAATTCATGTTCTAATTATCGAAATTGACATTAAAATGTTAGGCAAAATGAGACTAGATTTTGGTGGAAAATGCAACAATGTAGAACATGTATGTATTCAACATGATCACAACATTGATATTTAGTGGCCGAAAAATAATCACCTATCTTGAAGAGCAATATCAACAAAGATGAAACAATTGTATGTTCTATGTGCCATTTTGTTCCAAAGTAATATCATAAAATATTCAATTTTGATGTATAATAGTATTCCAAGAAGTCAGTGAAGGAAGAATGATTACTACTCGTTATTTTAAAAGATAATGATATCAGTTTTATAGATGATATTAGATGTAGAATGTATCGACCAGATCAAGCGGCACGGAATTTTAGAACTGAGATATATTTCACATCTTGATTATAAGATTTTAAGTAGTTGCATTATAAAGCTCAAGTAGTTTGAAAGGATATCTCATAAAAATTGATAATATTTATAATAATGATAGTTCTTGAAAATATGTTATAAAAATGGATTAATAAAATTTAAAACAATTTCATAATTGTTTTAAGAGAGCCTTGACAATCATTATTGAAAATAATAATGTCATTAACAATAGCAGATAGGGATAGATAAATTTTGCAACCAAAAGCTAATCTAATGATAGGATTTCTCTAAAATATTTTTTTTTAATCCGCTTAATAATTGTTCAACCATGATGACAGAAATAAAAAGAGGGATGGAATCATTCTCACGGAAGAGAAAATATTAAGTCTGGAGTCCGAATGCAAACAGGGTTCGGACAACGGGTGCGATATACCGGCAGGCGAGGATTTTTTTTTTCTAATACTATTCTCCGGCGAACTAGGTCCGTTGTTCGGATATTTCTTGCGTCCGGACTCCAGACGTAATATTTTTTGCTCACGGAGGCCCCATACTTGAAGAAACCATGATAGGTGTATTGAAACCAAGAGAAGTGTTGCATGTTTGTGTTGATATATATATATATAAATAGTCAGGGGCTATTATACGAATCCCAACAATCCCTCAAGTACCTAAGAATTTGAGTACCACTCTGTACACACTCGAGGGGAATCGAACCCCATATTAGGGGGACTTATAACTAGGGCTGTCAAAAAAGCTCGTTGTTCGAGAACAGTTCGTGTTCGGTTCGTCAATGAGTTCGTGTTCGATTCGTTCGATAAGTAAACGAGACAAACGCGAACAAATTTTTTTCGTTCGGTTAGTTAAACGAACCAAACACGAACAGTGATGCGTTCGTTCGTGTTCGAATCGTTATTGTTTGAAATATAAAATAATATAAAATAATTATATATATATAATTTATTATATTTTAAAACATTAAATTTTATAAATTATAATATATAATAAAATAATAATAATAATAATATATTAATATACTATAGTAGTAATATACTAATATAGATATTGTATATTTATATAATATAAGTTATATAATTAATATATAATATTATTTTTATATATTAATATTAGGGATGTCAAACTGGCTCGTCGTTCGCGAACAGCTCGTGTTCGGTTCGTGTTCGGTTCGTGTTCGGCTCGTTCGTTAAGAAACGAACACGAGCTTATTTCAAACAAACTAAATTTTAAACGAACCGAACACGAACACAAGCTTTGTTCGTTCGTGTTCGGTTCGTTT